AAACGCTGAAGCTTTATAGAGATATTGGTGGATAGCGACAGAAGTTAACGGTTCCGAGTGTTTACTTTTGGCGGGGAGGCACTAATAAACTTGGGGATAGAATGTATGTATCCGTATAGATTTGTCTTAGCCAAACCAACCAAATCGCACTATTTCCAATAAGACTGCAGCTTGTGTTGAATTCAAATGCAGTGGATTCATTCGTAAAGAAGACACGTATAAAGATGATGGCGTTTTAGGAGACTCACATCAAGTAAACACTCATTTTTTTTATTTCGTCAGATGTGCACGACGAAAACAATTGTGTTCGTGTAAAGATTCCGTCCGGCACGCTATATCCAGATGACAGCACAGATTTGTACGTATCAAGTGGTAGTGGAAATACTAGCTATGTAAACGCGATGGAGACCTGTTATGCCGGAAACTAGCGAGCAAGTCTAATCAACATTGGTTATCCAGGTAGACCCAAGCAAAATTACGCATTAGAATACAAGTGCACAACAAATACATAAAAAACTGTGAAAAAATAAAATCAATATATTTTCTTGTTTCAGGTAAACAGTTTTTTAATGAAATACATAGGAAATGTTCATAGGAATTTCAGATACCAGATTGAATACTCATTTATATATTTTGTTTGAAGCCTTTTGTTTTCAATCTTATCGTCATTGTATAATTTTCCTTCCAACCATCCATCACTTATGCTTATTTACACGACAAAACGGGATTGATTCTATATTTTTAGAGCTGAACAAATTTGCAACCGCAAAATTTCTATGAGCACGAGGAAAGAACAGGGCTATGGCAATTGGAGTGTCCCTATGCTTTGAATAGACTGTGTGCGCTGACATAAATATAATTGAACAAGTTCTGTTCAGTCTTGTTTATCTGCTGACAGATGTGAATGTATTTCTTGTAAATAATGAATATCTGAAGTTTCTGTTTGTTTCAAAAAATTCTCATCGCCTTTTTGAATGTTGAATAAGATCAGAGTAACAATGAAATATAATATAACTAGTGACTACTTGTTGGCCATTATAATTTTGAAATAGACATTTTTGATGCATAGTTAGCTAAATAAGTTTAGTACCACGAATATCCCCTTACTTGAAATTCGTTCCGAGATCTGCAAATATTTTAGACATAGAGTCAGAACTGAAATTGCATTGAGCCACCCTCTGTTTCCCTGGATTGATGACTTGCTAGAACTGATTATAATTCGTGTCATCAATATCGCCATTTTCATTTGCTTAACATGTTTTAACAGTTCTGTAAAAGGACTTCCTTGCTTTTTCAAGAAAAGTAAAATGTAAGAACGTATACATCTACATTATGCAGGAGCACACAGAACTTGCCTTCGATGATAATGAAAGAGACAACTAAATATTAGGCAGTCCGTCGTATACAGTAAATTAATCCACAAATGTTTTCTTAAGCAGTTAAAAGTTTACATGATGTTAGTAACGTATAGCCATAAACTGCGTAGAAATATGTAAAAAAGATTAACATAGCACATGCATCCTGAGTTAGGCATATTTTCAGCTGCACCAGCATCGTTGAAAAAATAATTCGAGTATATTGGACACATTTTTTATACTATTGACCTTATATGTCCCCATAAACAATATATATTAATGACAAACAACTCACGGTCACACCGGAGTGTGTACAAAAGACATGTGCGATCTGAAAATATTCTGTTTGAAATGCAATGGTATTAGTCTTGTTAGTCCTGACGCAACCGTGTTATGTGTATTGCGTTGTTAATCTGCCGCCTAAAAAATAGTAAACGGTATACGAGAAGGATTAAATTCCTGTTTATCCGTTGAGGGCAGCACACATCACATGAAATTGGAGTCAATTTACAGTCCACGCAACGTAGGATGCAGATCTGAAAACTAGTAAAGATTAGACGGCCTCACAGTACAGTCAGCCAGTCGGCCATGCGATGAATTTAATTACAGTCTTCTGTGAAGTAGATCAGCGAGATTCGGGTACATACCGAAGACAGCTAAGGCTACGCACAGGAATTCGAACTGTTGAAAACTTGTTCATAAACTATATACAAGTATACGTATGAATAGTTTACGAGTTAGGACGCAAGCTCATTAGATCGAATTAAGGCTGTTGAGCATCGTCGCACACGGTCCATTATTCAGATCTAAAACACTTGAGACCCATCACGAGCGTACCTTATTCAGTGTATTCGCTTTAGTTAAAGAGCGGTGGTAGCCGCATCGCGTCTGTTCGATATGGGACTCATATCGACGTATGTAACGCGTATAAAATACATAGTTTTTTTACACGAAATTCAAACACGCGGTGTGCAACGGCATACCACGACGTTTTCGAGTAAGTTTAATCGTCTATAATATACTGTACGTAGTTGTATTTAATGACACTTTTGATTGGCCGAGGTAAAGCATTATATCTGGCACTAGTATGCCTGTATTCCTGTCCCTATATTGAATAATAAAATGACGTAAATATCTAACTGAATTGAGAGAATAGTTCAAAATGAAAGCGCGGAAAAAAGAATAAATAACCACTCACACCGGTGTTTATTCTCGCGAAGACTGGCACAGGGCAGCTATAAAGTAAAAAGCTTCAAGAGGGAGTAAGTTCTCTATCTTGAAGGGTGGTGGTCATCGCGTGCGCATGTGCAACATTTGTTTTGATAAACATTTAGTTTCCTATAATCCAATACGATATCCGAATGGAGTGCACTAATTACCTCCGGTGGCTCCTTCGATAACTTCCAATAACAAAGTTTTTGCATAATTGAGGTTTAGTAACGTTTCAGTTTGTACCCGTTGGTCTGACTTCATTGTTCATATAAAATCAATATGTCGCGCATGCGTGTCACGGCGACCACCGTCCTTTAATCAACGATATTACTTTATGTATTTATACAGTTTTCAATAACTGTACAGTGCAGACGTTGCGATACATTCCAAGCTACAGAAGTTAATATATTAAAACTTCATTCTTGTTTCCTCTTACTTAAATGATCGATGCCACATTGTGCAAGGCGACACCCATGTGAACTTCGCTATCACTTATTACAACAAAACACGTGATCGAACTATTTGTTCTCGTGTTTCATTTTTAGACCGGTTGTTCAAGTGCAAAGCCTCAATATAGTTATAATATTTATTTTTCGCTGCTATTGCCTTTCAATAACTAGATAATGTCAAGCCCTGCCAATATACAGTCCATTCGTCGTCAACGACAAAGTCAAAAATCGTGTCAATTTTCGAGATCTTGGCTTTAACACAGGAGACGGGTCGTACGATTGTAATTTCACGTATACATTATCATATACGAAGACACGACCCAATTTTGAAGTTGAGGTACTAGACGGGGCTCGAACTTCGATTTTTTGTAAAATCGATGTCAGTGACCAGCTGTCGGAACGTGCAGTCATAACATTGTCCATAATGTTCAGTGTGCTGTTCTTTATATTAATCATATAACAACCCGAAATATCGAAACAAATGAGTGTCCGTGCAGTGCTACGCGTGAACAAATTTAATCACAAATTCAACAACGCCAATAGGCTAATACCATTCGAAAACACGCCCATATATAATTCCTTTGTTTTAAATAATTTCTACAACACTACAACTATGGACATGTATACAACATAATTAATTGTCTCCCTGCATTGACCTAAAGCACTGACCAATTATTGTCTGATAAGTGGATAGCACGTGATACAAATCATAATTCTTGTAATTTTTAGCGAAATGTCGGAATTGAACGGGTCGTATGACGAACCGCAGGCCTGGTATATTTGACGCATGCGCGCAATTGATCAGTATATATTTAAATTTAAAATTACCACTCTTTCCACGTGAAGTGTGAATATTTTACAATGCTCCTATCAGCATCATACTGGACAACTCATTGTGGTGTTAGAGAACGTGCTATATACAACGATGTTTACAGTGTGTTTTGCAGAGGGGCGACGTGCGATATTAATTAGTCCTAGGACACGTGAACATTGCTTTAGTTTGATGTGGAGTGGTCAACATGGAGTTGGACGACGTGCAACAGTGTATATGAACACTACGGGGGTGTAGTAACATCGCGAAGCATCGGCAAGTCAGTTTGTAATCGTGAATATCGTTCAATTAGCGCCTAAAAAAGTGTTGTTTGTAGGAGGCTGCCTCTGAACAAATATTCGCGATCCAGACGCTGTGTACGGTGGTGTTGCAATTAAGTGGGATAAACAAAGTAATAGTTTGTACATTTAAGTGAATAAAACTTCAACGGTGATTTATATTGTCTATAAGACAACGCTTTTCGAAGGTATGGTTATAAGTAAAAGTTACATTTAATGTTGTGTTTTAACACTGCCAGAGTTATATTCAAATTTTATTTACTGCTCTGTTACCCATGGTTGGTACTCTGATTCGTTGCAATATAATAATATATCTATAAGTTTTATAGGTTGGAGAGCAGTTTTTATTATGTAAGTAATTAAGTTCACCCATGGAAGTTCACAAAATGTGCAAAAACGTTCATTTCTCACATTGACACCTGTAAACAACTATTCACAAGTGACAAGTGCTATTCACAACGATTTCAGTAGCTTGTGGTGTTCTTTTGTTGATGTGATCTCATATGATCTATTGTTGTTAGACTACCCATCTAGTACGCATCTATGCACATGAACAAGAAAAACATCTGGCCTATTATTGGCATTGGCACATCACGACGTTCTTGACTGACCCCTAAGCAACCAGTGTAATTTAGCTGTGATAAAATGTCGTCTTTTTGTCGTATAGATGTACAATCTATTTGAAATATTAGAGCAGCTATTGTGGGTGCACTAAATGCATATAACGAAACAGTGTTTCTTAATATGTGCTGGCATGAATATTCACATGCAAATATAAATACAGGAACAGTAGTTAGTATACAAAACACAATACACACTGAAGCACGCACATTCAACTGATATCTGTAGGCAAGATGGCAGAACAGAAAAAGACGTCCAAGAAAGGACGACACTGGCTATCGGCATAACTTCCCTTGTGCTGTTGGGTGCTGTTGCCGGGGTTGGATTTCTCGCTTATAGAACAGTGCAAGAACAAAACACTGCACCAGATTCAGGTGAGATTTGACAAAAGATTCGCGATGCACTATTTTAGTTAAGTAATTTTGAAATATTCGACAATGCTACTTATAAATACTCATTTTCAATAATGTCACGTGTTTGTGAGGGCAGTACGACTAAGGATAGGATTATAATGATTATCCATGTTATTCTTGACGCCATGGTTGAAGGCAAACTCATCATCGACCACGTATGTAAGAAACACAACAAATCGGGATAGTCCATTATGTTCTTTTCCATAATTGCATCAATTATACGTGAGGCCAGTAATATCTTATTTTATGTATCAGAACTATTTGTCGTTGTAATTAATCAGATGAATTGCTTCTAAACGCATGATTTGTGATCAGCTTATAGTGCCTTGTTCAAGCCTCAATGAATATAAAATACACATACACTATAGAATGTGACGCCAAACTCTGATGAGGGTAATTTGCGTAGCGGATTTTTCGGAATCGAACCTGCGTCTAGTATATATATATTTATAAGATTTGGCTGTCGATATAGCTCATTTGTCTAACAATATCCCTAGTTATTTCTTGATCAGACATTGCAATTTAGAATTACATCAAAATACAAATTACATACAAAATTACATCATAAATCACATACTGTTTTTGCATGAAAAACGTCAAAGACTGTTTCCACAAAAGACATTATCATATTACATCAAAATACAAATTACATACAAAATTACATCAAAAATCACATACTGTTTTTGCATGAAAAACGTCAAAGACTGTTTCCACAAATGACATTATCAGGAAAGAAAATTAACTGGAACTAACACTCGCTTCACCAATGACAACCCTAACTAACAACCAACCAACCAGTCAAACATTTGAGACTTTAGTTTAGCTGATAACAAACAGCCAATCAAAGTGCCAATTACAAAATTTCAGCATGTTTGGCATTTTTATAACCAATAATAATTATTATAGAAATAATAAATAATATTTATTGCAGAGTATTGTTAGTTAATATCATAAATCCGCTGACATATGTACGTCCATAACCAATATGTGTTTTCATGTCTTGGCTGACACCAGGGCTGCTATGGACATAACTATTCATACTGTTATGATATTCTATTTTTGCTGTAAAATGAATGTATTTTGATAATGCCCAGTTAGCTAGTGAGGCTTGCCCAGCTGCGGAATTAGAATAGACAGCATGTATTGTCATTGCTAATTAATATTCTTTTGTTCGTGCTTGTGCAAAACGAACGTGAACACGAGTTAATCAAGTTGTCATCCAGCTCCCGACCAGTGCAGTGCAGCTCAGCTCAGCTCTGGTGCAGTGTCAACGTGGCAGCCAACGTATGTCTCACGATAATGCCTGACTAATTCGGCATGTGAGACTGATAGATGCAAAACAGCCTGCTGTGGTTCTACGCTGTAAAACCAACTTTATTCAAAGACCTGTGTTTCGCCAGAAAGCATGGTTTGCTGATCTTGGTCTTCTCTCTACACGGACGGTATGGAAGTCACGTAACATTACGGTCAGTGTCGTGTAATTTGCATTCCCCGAGACCTCTTAGTTTGGAGCTGTAGACCTGATATCGCCGTCGACGTTGCTGGGATTAACTGTACTATCGCTGAAACTACGCAATACGAGTTCTGCACCAGTTCCGAGCTGGGCTATTATCATTAATGTTATATTTATTGTGATGTATATTGTTGACCGGTTTGTGATTTATATCACTCCTGTTATTGGTTTATGCTTATTGTATTATTAAATTAGTATTATTGGACATATCCTGACTGTGTGCCTTTGTTTGACCTTTAGTGTTGCGTTCTGGAGTGCGAGATATTGGCGGCCAGGTTCGCGGGAGACTATCTCGTATTCCCGTTCGTAACAATACATACTTGAGGAAGAGTAAACATGGATGAGATTGGAGTGTTCCGTCCCACTTGTTCCTTTCATACACACATATAAATATCTTGTGCAGGGAATGAAACAGTAATTGACCTAGACCCCTATTGATGCAGTTACAACCATTGACATTTCGCCAGCATGTTCTAGAGAGAAGCAAGTAAACTAATGAATAAATAAGAGACTTTAAAATTATGACAAATGTCACCTTTCCATTGATCTATGTCGAATGCAAGCAGTAGAAACATATTCACGAAAGCCGGAAATTGTAATATAGTCACACCACAAACGTATATAACGCCATCTACTGACTGTAACTGCAAGTGACCTGAACTTTAAATCACATACATCAGATAGCGCCACCAAATGTTGATTTCAACTATATATTCGGTATATCCACTAAAACTGAACAATGAACAGCCCCTCAACCATGCATTTACATAATTACATTGAAGCCATTTTCTCTATAGTTTTAATCTGCTTTTATGACAGATTACCTAGCTACTTATCCCAGTAAGGTGTTTCGAGCTCACAACTATAACGAAAGCCCAGCTGAGAATATTAGAATATTATAGTTACTGTGTGTTTTTTAGAAACTAAACTTCACATCAACCGGAACGCAGCGAGCGTTTTGAACGTTATTGCGCGCTATTGCAAGTTGCAAGTTTTTAAATATCCGTAAGTGATGTAATAATTTCTTGTGGCATTTCTTTTTGTGTTTTTTTGAATCTCGGGAAAAAGTCGTAATTTAAAATGCAGAGTTAATATCTAAAATCTAACGTGTTCACATTGGTCAGAAATCAATGTATGGATTAAAATGTCAAAATTTACAATATTAACATTTTCAACAACAAACAAAATCTAAACATTAAATTCGGCATTTTTATAGATGTTACATTTTTTGTCTTGACTAGAATAAAAGTATGCTCATACTCGCAATGTAAATTAAAAATATTATTGCTACACAGTGGGCGTTGCAGTTTTGACCTTTGCACTGGTGTGCGTGACAAACCGCTTACTCTCTATCTGATGGCGTTGCACGACGTTGACATAGCATAGTTTTTGTGTTTGATCGTTCTCTCGCCAAATTAAATCTTAACCTTTTCCCAAAAAGAGTAGTAATGCTGACCAATCGTAATGTAGTGTTTTGGGGTCACGTTGGGGGTTTCAGTGTATTATGCTTTGTTTGTCATCACCTCTGCGTCATTAACGTACATGGTGACATGTGTGCCATGCATAGTACAGATTTATTGTCCTAATTTCAAATCCATCATTCTGGAATTTGTTGTTATCATGATTATTTGGACAGGAGCAAGGGGAGAAGCTGGTACAGGTTACATGGAATAAAAACGGTATTTTACCTTTTACAGGAAATAAAATGAAAGTTCCATTTACATCGAGCCTGAGGCGAGTATATCGTGAGAATCTTCGAAAGGAGAATAGTTTTCTCAACGGGTTGTCGTCGTCATGCCGCGACGTACTCTAATTACCGCCGACGCTCCTTCGATATATTCCAATAACCAAAGAAATTACAATAGTAAATTGTTGTAACGTCGCAATCTGTATTCTTCTGTCTGTGCAACACCTGAAAGTCACCATCTTTGTTCATGTGAATTCTACATGCGTGACGCGACTTTCAATATCCACACAGTTTTTAATAACTGAACTAAATGTGATACAGATGTTGCAATACATTCCAAGCCCAAGAAGTTAAAGTGCCTGTGAAATGGCTGCTATTTTCACGCCTAAAATTATCCATTGATACATAAATATTATTATTTTTTATGTTTCTAAGCATAAATAATTGTTTTAAGTGAAAAAATGTGTTTTTAACTCAGTCTACGGAAACTTTTTTTTGTGTATTTTAAAACGAGGCTCCTCATTAGCTTCTTATTTGCATACAGAAATTCCCCTTGTGACGTCAGAAGGGGAAGTCGCTGGGCAGCTTGCATTGTCGATGCGTGTAAATAAGGCAAATTTATTGTGCTATTTTCTCGTCTTTGACTAAATTGCCACTTATGTACTTGTTCGTCGAGGAAGAATGGACCATAATGAACACATAGTATCAAGTTTGTTGCATGGGGTTGAGTCAGATGCGAAATATGTTCGGTCTGGTGTCGCTAGTCACCGTGGTCGTCACCGTCACCGGAGCACGCTTGTACACTGTCGCTGGACTCCGGCATTGGACAAAATCGAATTTGACGGCTGAATCGTCTTGTTATTTAGCAGGTTACTAGACACTATTGATTTATAAAATAGAGAAATATTTTTTTTAAAAACGACAAAACACAGTTACTGAATAAATGACTGCCGCGTTGTAATGGGTG